GCGCGCACACCAACGATGTCGTGCTACTTTCCCGTCGCTTCCTAGTATCGTTGTTATGCAACGTTACGACGCTACTTCGGTACTGTTTCAATAGCAGAGACTAGGCAGAGCGGTCGTCCTCGTCTCATTGATACGAGGCTCTCTGAACGAGACCGAGCTCGCGTGAATTGTGTTTTACAGCCACCGGCGATGCGGTTATACGCGCGACTTTGCGAATTCCGTGATATTGTCGTTTAAGTAGCGAGTACAGAGTTGTACCGGAGATGCTTCTAAACTGGATATACCGTCAAAAGAGATGATAGCATATTGTCGTGAAAATCATTGCATTCATTTTAGATCTTCTGAGCGTATCTAGAATTTCTCAGTCAGCAAGTGGCAAAAATCTATCTGACAAAATTAAAATACATATATTAAAGTCAATCTTCGAAGATCTTCAAAAGAGCGACCGAAGAAATCACCCTTTTTTTCTCGATTTCGGGACTGAACTGGCTGTGCCATAAATATGCTATAAATTTTACAATCTTATAATGAGACATTAATTACAGAGAAGTTTGAAGTTGAGGTGATAATTTTTATCACAGCTGTGGAATCGAAGTTCATTATCGAATTATCATGAATCTGCGAGGTCCGATATTTTAGGAAGGTTAATCCAACCGGGTTTATATCAATTATCCACATCGCTAACTGGCTAATTAAAAATAATGTATTAAAATAGATAAACAATAAAAGGGCTAAGAATACCAAGCTGAATGTTCTTTGCTAACTAATTAAATTTAATGTTTAAATAATAGTAACAGTTTCGATCCGTTCTTAATGTGACATCTTAATGTGACAGATAGTTACAAAATAATTTGTTAAAAATTTTTTTCCGTTCGTTTTCATGCTATTATGTAATAATGAAGGCAATGTAATATCGCAATAAAAAAATGATTCTGAGAATATCTTAACTAGATTATACGAGTGTCAATTTATGTTGAACATATGCTATAATATTTTAAATATCGCAATTACCGCACCCGAACGATGCATTAGTTGACGGTGAAAACTCGCGCGCGTCAGCCGCTTAGATATCTTACCTGGGATATCTCGGGAGAGCGGAAACATTCGAAAGTGCTCGCTGACGACGATGAGCGGTTCCGCGCTCTCTTCCTTCGGCGGTTCTTTTCTTCTCATCGCGCGAGCGCTCTATTATCTGCGCCGGAAGAGGAAACGATTTGCACGGACCACCCGGTACGTGACTTTTCTCCCTCGTCCACGCGCAATTCGCGACATCCCGATACTGAGCGGTGTGGAGTCGCGCGGCGCGACTCCCTTGTGAATTTTTTTAATCCGCTTCGCCGGTCGCCGTGTCGCGCTGTTTTCTCCCCGGCATTGCGCCGCAGCGACGGCGGCGGCAGTGGCAACGTTCGGGTTCGTTTAAAATGCAAACTCGTTCGCGGTCCACGGGGGCTTTAAAAACAGCCGCTATACCTATCCGGATTTTCGTTTGCCGTACCGCCGCAAACTTGGCCCTGCCGGGTCTTACGCGCCTCATATAGGGATTTATGGCGGCGCTGACGTGTTTCTATTCTGAACCGTCTCGTCGCGTTGAGGAACATCCCCCTCCCGACGTGTTCTTTCTTACATGGTGTAACGCTCGTACTTTGCACGTCTTCATGATTCTCTTGTTTGTATTCAAACAACACGTGTGTGTGTTGTCTGAATATTCGCTCTTTTTAATCGAACGAATGTCCAAAAACGAGACATTTACTTATGATTTTACAAATATGTCAATTAAATAATAATAAAATAACATTATTGATTGTGTCTATTCAATGTCCAAAAACAAAACATAAAACATTTTCAAAACGTCTTATGTCACAATTTTAAACTTTTTGTTGTGTGAATAGACACAATCGATCATATTATTTTATTATTATTAATTGACATATTTTTAAAATTTTGAGTAAATGTATCTTGACTCATTTTTTTGCTTCGAGCTGATCCAATTTTTTAATTTCCTTTTTCGCTTATAATACATACATACATTTATAACTTTTATGTTTTGTGATTTTGTTAGAATCGCAAGTTGAACAATATAGATTTCAATATTAAATTATAGCGAATATGAAATATGAAACTTTCAAATCACTTCTGATAATTTCGTTATTAAAAAATAAATAAAAACTTTTCCTTGAAATTTTCTGATTATTAAGAAATAATTTATGCAGAACAAAGATTTTTCTTGCTTTTTTTTGTTCGAGAATAAATTTGTTGTCTCATTTTTCATCTAGTAAGATGTCACGCATTTTTCTTCTGAAATTCTCATTTGCTAGAGAAAAGAGATTACTTCCTTCAAGATTCTTTTTTTCTTAAAAACGAATAATTCTTTCAAATTTTGTATCTATAATATATATGCATCACATTTATCATCTTTTTTCAATAATTGCTCTTTCAAGAAGATTTTAATCGTATCGCAGTTGATTAGTACTTCACGGTCTTGCGATTTTAGTATCGCAAAAAAGATCCAGAATCAAATGGTCACATTTAGCGTTGAGCATTAGAGGTGAATGCGGATCTCCCCGATGTATCTTTATCTCGAAAGAGACGCTGGCGAAAGTGAGATCAGGTCTCTCTCGGCTTTCCTGGTAATTTGACAGAGCGATAAAGCCAGTTCTACCGCTCCTTTGAGGAAGATGTTGATTCAACGGTCACTGATGCATTAGATGATCGTCTAATCATTGATGTAGATGTGAGTAAAGGTGAGGGTGAGATGCGCTTAATTAGCTTGACCGTGTAACGCGAAGCGACACTGAGGGCAGCTCGGATAAAGGGCTAAATTTATCCCCGATAGTTCTTTGAGCCCCTTTGGTTGGGCACTTATTGTATGCGTGCACGCACTTCCGCGTTTTAATCCTCTGACGCAGTACTCGGTGTCTACCGCATTTAAAAGTCCTATGTATAATGATAATAAAAATCTAAAAGTATCTCTAAAAGCTACGGTAAGACAATTATAATTATCGTAGGAAGTTCTTTTGTATTCTGAAGATATAAGAGGCTTAATAATTTCAAGATAGACATTTCTAAGATATCACCGATGTATTTGTGATCACACCTTTTGAGAATTTTATGTTGATCACATAGAAGGCGAAATGACTCTAACATTTTAATTGATTGCCGTATTTACAGCTTTTGTTCTTTAAAATTGAACGTACTTTAAACATTGTAAAATACAGAAGTGCAGTGACTTTTTAAAGAGAATTTTTAATTTTAACATATTTAAAAAAAAATCATAAAGGCTGATGTCCAAGGAACAATATGGCCGAAGGTATAAAAAAGATATTTTGAACTTCGGATAAATGACAGTTTAAGTTGCATTTTAAAAAAGATCTTAGAAATATTAAAGCCTCACACCTTTTTGGGGTCTCTTTCTATCTTCAATGACCACGAAAGGTTAAATAACAAAGGAATATAATTTTAAACAAAAGATGCGATCAATTTAATAAAAGCTACTTTGGAACCTGTCTATATTTGGATTTGCTTTACGCACTGTGTGATCATTTTTGCGAGAAATATCATATACGCACATTCCGCAATAAAAAGTTCCCGTTCGATTATCTGATCGACAAACTTTTGAATAAATCGAATTTATGTTTATAAATGTGTGTTCAATATCGATTTTCTATTAATCTATTTTTGTTCTGTATCTTTATCGAGAGATAAAAATTTGAAACAATTAAATAAAACATTCCCATGATGATTGAAAATTGTTTGAATTCTGAATTAAATCCATTAATGCCGTGCTTCGAAGAGGGCAATTTGAAAGCGATAATTATTAATTCGAACGAGGATGATTTTTCCCCTGGAAAGATTACGCCGGTTTGCGAATGTGATCGGATAGGCGTCGCTTTTGTTATCCCGCTTGACCACAGCCACTTAAGCCCGTGCGCTAAACTCCACGAGTTCAACTTTACCCTTCAACAGGTGTTTAGGGAAATACAATAATGTCGCGCATGCGCGTCGAACTTCTTGAGGTCGCAAAGTTCGCTGGAACAATCTGACCGCGACCATGCCCGCGGGCGATGCCGGTACTTAGGACGAGATTAATTAAGATTACGCAGAAACGCGCCGCGGTTCTCAACCCTGGCCCGGACAAAGACGAATTTCGCGCGGTTAATGAAGAATTCCGTTAATGCAGGCGAGATAGGAAACGACGAAGCTTGATTAGGAGGTTGCACTGCGAGATAAAATCCAGCATCTATACTTGTCTTAATCAGTCTGAGCGAAATACTAATTCTAGTAAATGCATCTCGTCTTTTTAAATATAAATGTATTATTACATAGTTTTCCACAATATTGTGACATATTTACTGATCGTATGATAGAATAAGAATAAAATTATCGTAAAAGAGTTTTTCTTTGCAATTACAATTGACTGAAATATGGAAATCCGTTCTTTTATGATATAGATAATGTAGGAAATGTAGATAACACATCATATTGGCTTAATATAATACATTTAATTTTCTTTTTTTCAGATTTATTAAAACTTCATAGTTGCAATCACAAAAATTGTAATTAGTAGTTTTTCTTTTAATTGATGTAGCAAGGAAGTCTATTTTACCGATAGCAGATAATAACTTAGAAAACTGATTTACTAGCAGTCGATAAAGTAGATTTTGATGTCAACGTCGGTAACAGCTTGTGACCTAAACACGCTTATCGATTGGGAAACTTGAAGGGAAGTTACTTCCTAGATAATAGGTGGCGTTTGAATATAATATAGTTCTTGAAGAGGTTTTAAAAAATACATATATATTTACGTGTAAAACATTTAATAAATTATCGAATCGTTTAAATTATATATTCGCTTTGTCTAAAATTGTAACACGACAAAGAACGTGAAAATATAAAATCGCGTAATCTTGCTATTTATTACAACATTTTGTTGCATTTTAAATTATATATTCACACGTAATAATAAGTTAAATTTCTTATCATTTCGTGTATTCTGTTTATAGGCGTTAAATGGTGCCGAAGGTACAGTTCCACCTGGAAGAGTGTACAAAAAAGTCGCGATTGTGGAGAATTTCTTCGATATCATCCACGCCGTTCATGTTGATCTCGAAGGACGTCCCGGGAAACATGCTGGTCAAAAGCGCACCTATAGAACGGTAAGTTGTAAACTATAATTTAAAAAATTTATATAAAAAAAAATGTATACACTTTGTCTTCTCGGTTTAGAAATTTTAAACGTCGCATAGAACGCAAGTAAAAAAAGTACCATTTTATAATTAAAGACGTAAGTTGATGTCTCCAATTGTCGAGCTGCAACCGCCCCCATTGCTTGTAAACAATATTTCTCAGTATTGGAGTTTTTGGTATTAGACTTGTCACTAACCATCGAGTATCCGTCGATCCGCGAAGCGATTGAATTCCGAATTCGGGCGTTATCGGCAAAACGCGGTGAATTCCTGCATGGTTGCCCGCGACACGCGATATTTACCGTTCCCGAAGGAAGGCATCGAGGCGTTCAAGCGTCGAACACTCGATACCACACGTCATCTCACATGTTCCGGCGCGCATTCGCGTAAACCTCTCTCTTGGGTATCATATCTGTTCTCTCGTTCTCTCTTCCTCTCTCTCTTTCTATCTCGCACCCTCAGCACGCCGTCTCTTTCTACCCTTCATCGTCGGCCCCTGCGACCACCCTCCCACTCTTTGGCCTCCCATCCTCTCTCCTTTCTCTCTCTCTCTCTCTCTCTCTCTCTCTCTCTCTCTCATGCCGCGATCTGCTTGTGATTCAAAACCTCAGGACACTTGTTGCATTGCCTGCTTACTCACACACTCGAGCGTTTGCGCGACGGTGGAACTGTTTTACGTTCAAGTCGGCGTTAGGCGGCGGGATTCATCGGCTCCAGAGAGGAGAGCCCGCGTTATGTCACAGTGCCGCGTTGCGCAACGCGATACCGCTGTGTCAAGGATGGTGGATTTCGAGTTGATGCTGTTATATCGCAAGGGTTGCAGAAATTGACCGATTCGGTACACGCAATTTACCTTTGACGACTCGCACCTTTAATGCGCGTCCGATCGATACGTTACGTGTTACAGTTCATAGCGCGCAATTTGCCGTTCGAAGTTAATCGGAAGTCCCCGTAATCGAGCGAGAATAACGAGCAAAACTTCCGCTAAGAGCGTCTCTGTTGAAAAGTCATAAAGTTGCAACTACATTTAAGAATGATTCATTGATTTATATTTGTTGTGAAATCTTTTAAATTCCGATTCAGAGAAGTAAGGAGGAAAGGATAAATGAAAGAGTCTTTGTTAAATACGAACAACTAAAATGTAGATTTTGTTTATTTAATGTATAATCTGTTTGCTCAATATATAATCTGTGCTGTTTCATTATACAATAAACTCGCGGTCTCGCGTAAAGAAACGCGGTGCGTGCTTGGCTTAGCACTGAGACACTACCGTCTCCTGAAATATATTACGCAATATAAAATTTGATGTTTATTAGATAAGTACTTGTCATTCCTTCAGCACTTCATATATTAAACATTATTATCGAGAAATATTCTAGTTATTCAATAATTTATTTCCATTTTATCGGTACTCTGATGCAATCCGTTATCCTTTCACAAGTCCGAACCAAAATATTAATAACTGTCGACTAACAATCGATTAAAAATGCAATACATTGTTTCGAATTTTCACCTGAGAAACATATCTTTTTTTTTTTGCTTTTATTTTCTTTGAGTTGCAAGGTTTCGGATAAATCTTATCGAATTACCCCTTCTTCCATGGAACTCGTGCAGTTATACGCACACGTATATACATCAGTCTCCGTTGGCTTTCTCGGCCTCTCACAGAGGCTGCCATCCACCTTGATTAAGTTATGCCGCCCCTCCCCCCTTCACTTCCTTAGAGAGAAACGTTTCCTATTAAGAGGCGGCGAACATCCCTCCGGCTGAACACCTCCTCTCGCAGAAGACATCAAAGTTCCGTTATACTGCTCATGAATTTTCCCCAGTGGGCGTCGCGCGTAAAACGATGCCACGTGACAGCGATACTCGGAGAGCGGGAAGGGCCATTCGCGCGCGCATTAACGTGTCGATTGACAATGGTAGTTGCGTATTATTATTGCACGAACGTGCACTTGGGTACGGCGCCTCGACCGGGTGGAATTGCTTAATTATCCGACCGAACGATGTTTCTGCCTGAATATACGCCGTGGCGCAACGTTTGAGAAACGGAGTACGAAGATCTGGTTGATATACCCTGTTTCCATAGTCGCTATATTTCTGTCGTATTTTTAGCATAAAATCTGGATTAGCAACTTATTTCTGTATTAACATACGATTATCCTAAAATACGCTGCATGAAATTATATTCCTGCAGGAAGAAGACTTTACTGATTTTGTCCATGGAAATGATATTAGTGATATTATCTGATATTAGTGACATATATTTTTATAAACAATATGAGGATTCATTTCTTGTACTTATACATATATCGTTGTGCCTCGCTCAAACTTATTCATCTGTCCTTATCTAACATATTGCAACGCTATCTGTTAGTAGATCGAACGCCTACTGCTAGACACAATTATTGCTTTGTTTACCATTCCAAATCTTTGCTTAGCGTTCGTATACACGTCATTTGCAGATCGATAAATCTTTCTTTTGAAGTTTTTAATCTTATGATTAGTTTCATAAACTCAGTATTGTTTGTGCATGTAATGCGTTGAGTGCTGCATTATTATTTGATCTATACGAGTTATAAAATTTGTATTATGGAAACATCTATGTTAGGTGACAGCTCTATGAGTTGAAAAAATATAAGTTTTTAACTTTTTTTCCGATTTTGGTATAAAGTTTATTGCAGCATTTTCAAATTTTGCGTCTTTAACCCAGTAAAAGGATTTTTGATTTTGTTTAGTAAATTCGGAGATTTATATCGATCTGCAAAATCCTTACAATTTGGCCACTCCAGCATCTTCTTAAGAATTTTTATTTTAGATCGCATATGAGAACACAATACTAGAAATTAAACGTATGTCTATAACGATCTCGAAGCTGGATCTTTTAATGCTTAAATAATTCAATCTTGAATTACTATATATATTATATATGTACTTGCATATATATTATATTTGTGCTTCTTCGAACTGTGCGCCAAATTGTTTTCCTGAACTATTTTAATTTTTATTGATATATTTTTATCTTGTTTGAAAGATAATCCATATATATGGATAATAAATTATAAAAGCTTTTTACAATAAAGTTAAAGTAATAACAGTGTAGTGCAGTATTAATTCTTCAAATGTTATTCTTGATATGGCATACTCAGCTTTTTTTAAAAAATTATCTATTTCGAAATTTTTATATATTGCTTATAATCTTTTTGCTAATAGAGATATATACATTTATTTGATGTTGTATTCCTTATCTCTGGTATTTTGTTGGTAAAAAAAATTTATTACAATATGTTCACTTTTATTAAAGTTACAAAGTTTAGTTGGATATGTCAACATAGCGTGTTGCATCAGTAATAAAATGACATAGTGTGACATTGAAGATTAAAATCTTGTCAGAGGGCAAAAAAGTGGAGTAAAGATTTTTTTTTGAATATATTTAAAATATATAGAAGTTTTAAAGAAAGCGATGTTCTTTCTCTCTTTGTTACAGATTACAGAGACGTATGCATCCCTGCCACGAGAAGCAGTAACGCGATTTCTGCTAGGTTGTACAGAATGTCAGCGGCGTCCGCGGACGCCTAGTCCAACGAACTTATCTAATCAGTCGCAGTCCACCCAGTCAGCGACGCTGGGGTCAACGTCAACCTCGCTGAATCCCGGTAACGCCGCTCTTGCGACCTCGTCGTCGTCGACGACATCTTCGTCGGTGCAAAATAGCTCTAAGCCGCGTAACGGCGGCCAACATGCGTCATCGGAAGGCAAGAACTTGCACAACTACAGGCACCAAAAGCAGCATAAGACCGGCGCTGGTAGCGCCGCTGCAGACTCGAAACTCGACAAGGACAAAGACGAGAAGTACAATCCACTAAGTATTACGAACTTATTGAAGAAGGACCCGGTGAACGGTGGTTATCTCGCGAGTTCGGACGCTTTGCCGGAATCGAGGAGAACGCCAGAATCGGATCGGGCGAGTTCGAAGAGCTCGGCGTCGTCAAAGAGAAAACGGATGCTGCCGGAAGGACGGACACCATCGCCGCAACCCAGCCAGCCGTTGCCGAGGCCATGGAGCCCCGGGCTGGACCCCAAGAACACGCCCATCGACTACAGCTTACCTATCACCACCTCGTATTTGAAGCATCAGCAAAGACTGCTCCAGGAGAAGAACAAGGCAGCCGCTCCTAATGTGCTGAGAGAGCCTGAAACAATGGAATCGAATGCCGTCACGACGCCGCTCGTCGTGGAGACCGAGAGCGTCGAGAGGGAGAGATTTTCACCAGCGACTGGTCTGATCGACACGAACCTCAATCTACTGGCGACCATCCAGCATCTGCACTGCCAAGTGATGTTGGCGCTGACTGAACGATTGAGACCGTCGTTCGCTGTGCCGAGCCCTTTAGTTTTGCCACCGGCATCGACTAACGTTTTGGCGGGTACGATGATGATGGGCACGGAAGTTTCGGTTCAAACAGGAGAGAATCATTCGTGAATTAATCGGTATGGAGAGAAAGAGAATGACCGATTTTTATAGTGACTTTCTTAGGAGGTGCGTAAGAGGCAATATATGATTATCAAGAAACAGATTAATATTTCCGCGAACAGAATTATAATTCCCATCGATAATACTGCCTGAAAGTCTTGCGTATATCGAGATTATATATTCATTATAGACAAGCGTTCGCGATAAAAAGATTAAGCCAATTAGACAACGGAAGTTTGTATTTAACAAAAAGTTAAAATTCGACCGCCTCATTTGCGATTTTTGTCGCAGTCACGCGGTTACAGTTGAGGCTCCGCATACAAAATGTCGATCGCGGTCACTCTTCATCTTTAATTCGTTTCCTAAATACGGTATCCGTTTGTTGATGTGCGCGATTGCGAATACAGCGACGAGCTGCTCACCATCCCCGTTTTTGGTCGAGAAGCGAAACGACAGATAAACGCAATTACATATTGAACCGGACGGGATCGATTATTGTCGTCGATGCTCGTGTCACATATTTCATCCGATCAGGCCGACCAGCCTGACGCTTGCTTGCGTCCGACGTCACCCGATATAGACGACGGGCCAAGCGAGCAGAATAATTCCCCAAGTCTGTCGAAATACGGGTCGATGTGTCAGGGATTCGCGCTTTCTGTGTCCGATATTTAGAAATCCGTTACGCGGAGAGCGGATCGCGATCCGGCCGCCGCCGGATTCGACTCGGTTCCAAAATCGATCCATCCAGACGGGGCAAAAGCGACAGTCCGCGCGACGACACCGCGAAGGTCCTGAATATTCAACGAGCCAGCGAGATGGGGGGAGGGGGGGGGGAGTCCGAGGGGAAAAGAGAGGGATGGAGAAGGAGATCCGATTTCTCGTTTTCGAGTGTCATCCGATGAATCTGACAACATTCAGCGTCGTTGTCGACCTGACAAATTGTCTTTCATCTTTTAAGCGCGACGATTCGCTCCGACTAATTATAACGTGTACCAAAATGGTCAATTGATGCTCCAGATGAATGATGAATTTTTGTATTTTATCGTCTTCCCGTAGTGAGAATATCTCGGCGCTAATAATTTCTGTGTTATAAATCATAAAAACAGATTACGCAAGTTAAGCTTCGGAGCGATAAATAAGTAATGTAACATTACCTGTCGATATTGTTCAATCTTTCAGAGGATGAACTTTCTTTTAACAGAATTTTATTTAAGGCTCGTTGGAGGAAAAGAGAGAAAACTTTTCTGGGGGAACATGCTTGTCGAGTTTGAAGAAACTTGTTTCGTCTTTTTGTCTGTTTAAGCGATGTAATACCCTCTCAATCTCGGACGGTATGAATTAATGTCGATTAATACGCGATCGAGTAACATCTCATTGACAAGGAAAGAACTGGCTGCATCTAGTCGGCACCTTATTCTATCTTTTTAATCGTAATAATATCGCGTGTAATTACACGCATTAAGGGGATATCCAAGGCGAATCTGGACGCGCGACTCGTCTTGTAACATTTCGCCGAACCGGTATTATCTGCGAGCCACAAACTTCTCTTATATTGTACTAATTGTCGTGTTATTGCCATTATTAACGCAGCGACGATACTTTTTGACGATACCGCGCCGCGATTGCTTGATTGGATACATTATTTCAGATAAGAAACTGAATGTATTTTTAATTAAACATATTTTATATCTGTTTTGAATAAAAAAATGTGCGTTCAATCATTACATTATACAATATAATCTCCTTTTTTATTTTTAAAAAATTTGTACTTTTAATTTTGCTCCTACAATAAAAACAGTCAAATCATATTTTTCAGATTTATGTCTTTCTATTAAAAAGAACATCGAGACGATATTAATTTGATACAATTGAGATTTATTTGAAAAAAAAAATATAAATAATCATTCTTTGGTTGCTCGTGTCTTTTGTGAAAATTATTTGCGAAGTGATTGACTTAGACATACCATCGTAAAATAACTTGTTCATTTAGCGATCGCCGAATCCGATACTGAATATATACCGAAGGCAGCATCACTTCGAGCTCTCGCTTTGAGAGCGACTCTCGTCTTCGTAGAGCAAACCGCAGGTAAGATGAATCGGTTGCAGTTAGAAATCGATTGTTTCTCCCATCGAGACCACGACGACAGTCCTCGGGCGGCGAAATCCGTTTCGTGTCTGATTGTGTACGTAGCCTAGCCTTCGCCCCACGTGTATGATATTACTCGAAGTAGCTCGTCTTTCGTGTATGATATAATATAGCGTCGTTAGCCGGTGAGAAAAAGTAGGTAAGGTACACCGGTAAAATAGGCCTTAAGGTGTGCTTGCAGACAAAAAGATGTTTATACTAGAAGTTCGATAATTATCGTGAAAGTAGACGAGGGTTAAGAACCCCTGAGAATGTTATCGGACATATTATATTATACATATTATATAATATATATATATATACATATGTACACATATATATATATGTGCGTGTGTGTGTATGTGTGTGCGTGTGTGTGTGTATATATATATATATATATATACACACACATATTATTTTGTACATAATCGTTGTACCATAGTGCGTATAGTCTATACAAGCAAGAGCGCGTGATTATATTATTACAACGATCGTTCTTTTATCACGGTATTATGTATCGTTATCATCATTATTCTTATTATTATTATTATCACAAGAATGACTACTATTTTTCGTACCATTGCTCTTATTGCTCTCTCTTATCATTATTTTATTATAATTATTAATTATTATCACATGAGTATTATATTACTGTATTAATGTTATTATATTTAAATTGTGCGCGCAGAACAAACGGAAAAATATATGAAATTGAAATATTCAAAAATATTGCATATATAATTTATACCATACCCAAAAAAGGTGTATCCTTTCCTGTTTTCCTCCGGTGTCTGTTTCAATTTTCAAGTCCGCTTCCCGTTTCTACATTTTTCCTACACTGCCTTTTAATTAACATTATCATTCAAGACATAGTTCGATTCTGGGAAAGACATTGTAAGAATTAAGATTGTTTATTTCTGACTACAGCACAGCATTGCATTTTGTCGTAGCGCGTAATAACGCCGTTGCATGTAATCGCCAGATATATTCCGGATATAATGAATATATTATATTATACACAGGATGTAAGGAACGACTGTGCGGAATGATCAACTACGTCTGTTCCATTGCGACTATCGCATTATGTGAATATGTAAGTATTAAGTTTATTTATATCCAATCAGCATTCCAAAATGCCCGAAAAACTTTGATCGATCGATGGACATGTGCAATACATCGAAGAGGGACGGTCTTGCGCGCACAACGAACGCAATTGACACCTCACCCCTTCCTCCCCTTTCCTTTTTCACTTCCTGCCTTGGTATAGTACTAGATAGAAGCAGTCGCTTCGGCGTCTGACGTACTTTAATATCGCGAACAAAGAGGACGAAATGATCGTGTTGCCTTTAACAAAGGAGAGGGAAGGCAGCGTCGACGACTCACCTGCTTTCTCTCTCTTTCTCTCTCTCTCTCTTTCTCACCGTAGTGCGAGGATCGTTTCTCGCAGAGGAGGCACCATAGGTAATGCAGTCTTTACTCATCCGGCTGTTGCCAACGTTGTAGCGACCTCGTTCCATCAACTTCTACGCGTTCCCTCTAGCTAGCTATCTCCTTCGTTTCCT